AGGACCACCTGGGATGTATGACTTAGTCATAACAACGTCCTTTGAGACCACAGGTAAGCTGGAGTTTAGAGGAAATTCTTGTTCCAACTATGACATTTGGGGAAATCATTGATCTTCTCCAGGTTAAAGCCAGTTAGGGACATTGTGTGATTCAGAAGTTTCTCTCTCTTTTTTAAAAAAATCCCAGTTCGGTTTAATGAATATAATATACCAAGCACCTACTATGTTCAAGTCTTTACATTCACTGTTAGGAATATAAAGAGACACAAGCCTTTGTCTGGTGATCCTTTCCTATCCTTTTAGTGTGATTCCTCACTTCTTTCTCACCAATAAACGTCTCAAATGCAAATGCTGGTGGGGGCCAGGCCCGTCTTGTGAAGGAGTGAACAGGCCTCTGGGAGACCACAGCTCGTGGAGATCATGCGCTCCATTGTTCACGGGGGTGTGACTCAGTGCCAGTTGCTGCTGGGCAGGAATGCAGCCCCAACAGCGCCAGGACTTCCTGTTTCTCAAAGGGGTTCGAGAACTGGATTTTTATGTGAAATATCCCAATCTTTCAGCTTTGGGAACTGGGTGGGCCAACAGCAAATACATCTGCAAGCCAGGTCTGGCTTGGAGCCAACAATCATCTCACCTCTTGGCGTAAAGAAGGACAGTCCCTCGATTATTAGCCATTCGTCCAAGATCTTTTTTGACAGATTTCAGTCCCTCATGAGAAAAAACCTTTCTACTAGAACAGTCCGAAGACTTAAATGGGAGGCTTGTCGAAGTGATGAGCCGCTGGGTACTTAGAGGGATTTGAGTGGATACTGGAGGATGCTGGTGGGCACACTACAGAGGGTCCACGAGGGAAAACAACGAGCAAAATGAACAAAAAGTCATGAGGGCACCTCAGTTCAAGGAGGCAGGAGTGGAGTTGCTGAGACAGAAAGTTGAGTCACCCGAAGGCAGAGCCCAGAGCCCGGAGCTGGGGCGGCACATGCCTGCTCCCGAGGGCGGCCACCATGGCTGTTACTGAGCCACCAGAGCTGTGGTGTGTTCCAAACAGGCCCTGGCGTCTGTGGCTGTCCAGACCCGTGTTGTCCAGTTTGATAACCGCCAGGCACACGTGGCTGTTTCAACTTAAAATAATTAAAATGAAACGAACAGTTCAGCTCCTTAGTCCCTTTTGCCACATTAAATGCTCAGTGGCCACAGGTGGCAAGTGGCCCCCATATTGCAGGTGGCGAGAAGACTTCCATCATTGCAGAAAGTTCTACCAGATGGTGCTGGTCTATAGCTTTCCATTCTTGTTTCTTCCCCGTGTATCTGTAACTAAGATGACTTTACTGTGCCTCTCTTCTTGGCCACCAGAAAGAGTCTCCCTGGTGCAGTGACTTCGAGGTCCCTTCCAACCTCATGTTCTTTGTGAAGGATAGATGTATCTGTTAGGAGCTGTGCTGTCTGAGCCTGGGCCCCAAGGTGGTCCTCCCTCAACCTCCTGTGTATTTATTTTTAAAAAAACTGAAAAAGTGTGGTAAAATATATATAACATAAAATTTATCATCTCAACTATTTTTAAGCACGTAGTTCAGTGGCGTTAAGTACGTTCACATTGTTGTGCGATCATCACTACCACTCGTCCCCAGAAGTTTTTCATCTTCCCAAACTGAAACTCTATATCCATTAAACAACAGCTCCCACTCCCCTCTCCCCCTGGCGACCGCCATTTTGCTTTCTGTCTCATGAATTTGTTCTAGGTCTCTCCTGTAAGTAGAATCATACAAGACTTGTCACTTTGTAACTGGCTTGTTTGCTTAGCATGATGTCTCCAAGGTTCATCCACGTTGGAGCAGGTGTCAGAATTTCCTTCCTTCTTAAGGCTGAATAATATTCCATTGTATGTTTATACCACGTTTTGTTTATCCATCAATATCTGTTGATGGACACTTGGGTTGTCTCCACCTCTTGGCTATTGTGAATAATGCTGCTATAAACACAGGAGTGAAGATATCTCTTCAAGATTCCTTTGGGTATACATCCAGAAGTGGAATTGCTGGATCATACAGAAATTTTATGTTTAATTTTTGAGGAACCTCCATACTGTTTTCCACAGTGGCTGCACCATTTTACATTCCCACCAACAGTACACAAGGGTTCCAGTTTCTCTACATCCTCACCAACACTTGTTATTTTCTGTGTTTTTTTTTTTTTTTTGATAATAGCCATCCTAATGGGTATGAGGTGGTATCTCATCGTGGTTTTGATTCTGATTTCCCTAATGATTAGTAACGTTGAAGATCTTTACACGTGCTTATCGGCCAAGGTGTTTTCTGTGAAACATCAATGCTTTCACGTAGGAAAAAAGCCATTTTTAAAAGGTTAAGCAATGGTTTTTTGACGTTCTTTGCTTTTGTTTCTGTTTCTCTGGCGTGCGGGTTTTACTTCACCTTGAGGAGAGATGGTTCTGTTTCTGAGGGACCAATCTGAAAGGCCTTTGGTTAGACAACGGTAAAGTAATGAGTGTCTTCAGAAATGGAGAAGTTCCAGCAAGATGGGCTGATGATCTCAAAGTTTGTCTTCTTTGTAGGTGGAAATAAATTTCTGCAGATTTTTTTTTCTAGGAAAATCTTTCCTCTCGTTGATCTTGGGGAGGTTGGGGCTTGGACTTACATGGGGAAGAGAACTGACTCCTGAAAATTTAGCCTGAGACCAGAGATTAAGGCCCAACTCTCAGGGCAGGGCCTACAGACTTGACGAGCAGTCATGTGGAGCATCTCATTTTACGGTCTCGGAGACGCGGTAATCTTTGGTTGTGTCCTATCCTTTTGTAGAGCCTCAAATGTTACAGTCCGTTATTAACCGACATTGAGGGGAGGGCGTGTGCCCATGTTTGGGGTGACGTTAAGGCAGCTGCAGCTGCCCGGAGAGTCAGGTTTCAGGGCAGCAAGGAGGGTACTGTAGTGGCCTAGGGCACTACTATTGCCAGATGGTCGTTGGGGTGGCAAGTGATAAGAGACAGATTTGTGGAACATGTGGGCAGTCTCTTGGGACTCCCAAAGACATTTGGAGGAAGAGAACCTGGTAAAAGTCTCGCTTTGCTGCAGTCAAGCGCCAGGAGGCTCATGCTGTGATGGTTTGGGTGTAAGAAGGAAGTAGGGCATTGTTTGTATAGTCACAGGCTGGTTAAGTCTGAGACTTGTGGGTTCGACGTCCCTCACATGGTCACCCCTTAGGGCTGGTTGCTCTGTGGCATTCTTCCCACCTGCTCCTCCCCTCTGCTCGTTCTAACTTTTTGTAGCTTGGGCACCCTGATGATTTACCAAACATTGTCCCTGAGGTGGGCCTGGCAGTCACCTGTCTGGCCTTGAAATCTCCCCGCTGAATACTTTGGTTGTACGCGGTAGCGCATTCTTTGAGGTCCTGCAAGAGAAGTGGAAAGTGCGGGGAGCGGGAGCAGAGAGCCACAGGCAAGGCTAGAAAAAAAAAATGAACTTGAAAAGAAGAGGCTACAAAGGGGACTTTTCATTCGTTTATTTGTTTTTTGGTATTAAAATGCTTTGGTAAAGGCTGATTTCGTTTGTGAATCTTCCTTTTAGTCTGAGGCTGGGCTTTCTCCTCTGTACCGAAGGGGTTAAATCTCCTGCCTTTCACGAAAGGTTTTGTTTTAACAAAGGGTTCCACAGCAAGAGAGGTTTGAAAACCAGGCGCTGGATGCCCTCTAGGCTCATTATTAGACCACACTGCTTTTGGTACATCATGAATTAATTTTATGTTTTGTGAATGTTATAACGGTTAAGTGAATAACAAAATTATTTTGTTTCACTGTCTCTCTGTGAATTGACTTCTAAAATAATATTTAAAAAACATAAACATTTAAAAATAACCCCAAATTTAGCTTCCCTTTTTTGGTATTAGTTTTTCTTCTCCTTCTCTGTGTTGGGAGTACCTGAGACCACCCATTTTGATGATTCTCCAGGAGGACTCTCAGGACTCAGTGTATAGTCAGAGTCACAGCTATGAGATACCACAGTGAAAGGAGACAAAGCAACAGCAGCAAAAGTAAAAAGGAAGTCTGGGGGAAAACCAGGAACAAGCTTCTAAGAGTTGTGTTCCAGAGGAATCACACAGGACATGCCAGATTCCTCCGGCAAGAAGTTGTGACAACACATATGAAATAGTGTCTACAGGAAAGCTCATTAGAGGCTCAGTATTCTGGATTTTTATTGGGGGCTGCTCACATAGACATTTTTTTTGTTTTTGAGGAAGACTAGCCCTGAGCTAACATCTGCTGCCAATCTTCCTCTTTTTGCTGGGGAAGACTGGCCCTGAGCCAACATCCATGCCATCTTCCTCTATTTTATATGTGAGACGCCTGCCACAGCATAGCTCGATGAGCATTGGGTAGGTCCGCATCTGGGATCTGAACCGGTGAACCCTGGTACACTGAAGCGGAGTGCGTGAACTTAACTGCCGTGCCACTGGGCCGGCCCACTGCAGGCTTCTTTTGCCTGCTGTGTTCCAAAATTCCAGACTCCCAGAAGGAAGGATAAACTATATTGTTTGTAGAAGTGTTTCAGGCATAGTGAGTCCCTCTTATTAAGGAGTGGTGAGAACCTCTGGAAAGCCAGTTCCCAGACGCCCGCCAAGGGCCAACCCTGCAAACAGGCCGTTTTAAAGATAGCAGTCCAGCTTGCTTTGCTAACTCTTTTCCACAGTCTTCTCCTTTTCTTTCTGGTCTCCTCCTTCTCATTCTTCTTCCTCTTTTTAATAATATAAGTCTCAAAAAATGGAAGTTGCCCATGTTTTTCTACACCTCTGAGAGGCCCTGTCATCCAGGTTGCACACAGCGCTACTCCTTCTGGGGAAAGATAGCTATGAGGAGGGATGTGGCAGCAAGACCATGCAGGAGCCTGACACTGGGGTTCAGGTGTGAGGTGATGGGCATGCACCATGGGGATGGAAAAGGAATGGGGAGGGGACAATTTTGAAAGCCACCACTAAAGAAGGATAAATGGATATATATTGGAGGATGACTTTTGGCTGGCTTTACCCATAAGTCAGCACGCTGCTGGGCTGTCTTCCTTGGCTTTAGGTTGATAAGTGTTCATAAAAGATCAGTTCCTCTTCCTTCTCTAAATAATAACACATACAATAGAATTTCATTTCAAATAAATATCTCTTTTCCATTATTTTGTATTATCTATATCACAGTTTAATCTCTTCATATACATGCTTTAAAAATGGCTGCCAATTTCTATCGACTTGGGAATTGGGAATTAGTATCTTACTGAATGCGGAAGAGCTTATCTTCATTTATGAGGAAAATTTAATTTTAATACAACCTTTGTATTTGGAAGCTGACATAAAGGGGCAATGGTAAAAAAGTATGGCTTTCTCTTTATCCCTTATACATTTTTCTGATCAGGTGAAATTTTCCTGATTAGAAATGACACGTATACGTGTATTTTAGGGCTCAAACTGAAGCCAACTCAAGGTAGGCAAAGCAGAGAAGTTTCAGTTCATAGAGTGGATAAGCTCTTTGCTTTGAATTGCTTGGTTGATCACCCTGATGTCTGAGTTAGGTTTGGTTGGGGCGGGGAGGGCTGACGAGATGCTGGGAAAGCCCACGCATAGTGCGTCTTACTGGGGAGGTAACATTCTCAATGGGAGGGTCCCCAGGCGACGTTGGCTGAGAACTGGAAACATCTGGTTTGATTGCTGTGGCTTGTCTTGCTGCCTGCTTTCGGGAGGTGCTTTCCACAAAAAGCACACCAAGGAGGAGGAAAGGAGAAACGAGAGAGGGAAACAGCATTAAAAGTCTAAATCAAGGAACCCAGTTGAACGAATTATTCAGAAATTAGAAGCCTACAAGCTATGACTTATTTTACATTTATCTTGCCTTGATCCTTTAAGCTAATTGATCAATACCATCATTCCTAATTGTTTATGCTTTTGACCCTCTCACTTCTTTGATATGTGTTTTAAAGTCTCTCCTTGTTCAAATTCAATCAAGTGAAATTATTTTGAGAAATTGATTTTGAGAACTTGAGAAACTGACCAATGTTCCTTTAGCTCAAGCGTTCTTAACCTTTTATTTTCTTTTTTAATATCATGGACCCTTTGACAGGTGAATGAAGTGTTTGCATGCTTCCTCCAAACAATGTCATTAAGTGTATAAAATAAAATATATTGAATTACAAAGGAAATCAATTATATTAAAGTACCTTTGTCAAAATATTTTAAAAATCCCAATTTACCGTATGGTAATACACATACTTCTCTATTAGCACATCTGACAACATCTAGTGGCAGATCTAATACCTACCACAACTGTGAAGCAATACCATGTATAAATGATATTTTGTGATATCTACAACTGTATGTGATGTGTGAGTTTTATTAGTGACAAAGTCACAGTTAGTGCTCATACTGCTGTGGTCTATTGCCTACATTCATAATAGAAGAAAATGCTAAATTTCAGTTAGAGGCTAGTGAAAATAAGAATGTAGTTTCCCCCCCAATTTTTGAAGCCCCTGAATTCTAGGACCCCAGGTAAAGAACTCTCACATTAGAAAATTGCAGCTGTTTAGATTTTTAATCCATGTTTTGATAAAATATCTACTTCTCTTGGTATTTCTCTGAGGTTCTAAGCAGAGTGTCTTAAACATACATTGTACTTAATATTTAGTTATTTATTTTACTTATTTTTTTAAAAGAACACTTACACACCTCTTACCCTGTGTCAGTTACTGTTCCAAGTACTTTATGAACACTAATTAATTATTTACGGGTAAAGCTGAATTAATATTTACAAAGACTAGGTCAGCATTAGCATGTTCTCAGCTGCATGTGATTTCTCTTTTGCTTGGAGACCGTCACTTCTTTGCTCCTTTTGGTCCTTTGAATTTAGCAAACAGTCCCAACACTTCTTTTTTCACCAAACAGTCTGTATGTTTTATTAGGATGCAACAGTACTTTATACTTATACAGCTTTTTACTGTTTTCTTGGTAATCATTCTGTTTGGAATTCACAGTGTTTTTATTTTTTGGATTCTGTGGCTTGATATCTATAGTTTTGGAGAATTCTTTGCCATTATCTTCTTCAACTATTGCTTCTGCCCCATTCTCCTCCTGTTTGGGACTCAAGTCACATCAATCTGAACTTCTTGATGGTTAGATCTTTTTACAGAGCATATGCCGTAAATGTCTCTTTTGATCTTTTTCTGTGTTTTCCACCCAATTTGTTCCCTAAGCTTGAGTCTAGATGTTTTCTACTGATTTGTTTTCCTATTCACTAGTCCTCTCCACAGCTGTGTCTAACCTGCTGTTAAACTCATCTATCAAATTCCTAATTTCAGTTGTATCTTTCATTTCTAGAATTTCCATTAGTTTTTTTTTTTTTAATCAAATCCAGTTTTCTGAAGATATTCTGTGTATTTTCTTGACTATGTTATCACACCTCTTTAAAAGTTTGTGTCTGGGGCTGGCCCCGTGGCTGAGTGGTTGAGTTCATGCGTTCTGCTTCAGTGGCCCAGGGTTTCACCAGTTTGAATCCTGGGTGTGGACATGGCACTGCTCATCAAGCCATGCTGAGGCTGCATCCCACATGCCACAACTAGAAGGGCCCACAAGTAAAAATACACAGCTATGTACCGGGGGGCTTTGGGAGAAAAAGGAAATATAAAATCTTAAAAAAAAAAGTTTGTGTCTGATCATCTGAGTCAGATTATCAGTCATAACTGAGACATGCGTGGGACTCTTTCTATTGTCTGCTTTTTCTCTTGGTCCTGTTTTTGTTACGTCTGGCCATCTCTGATTGCCGAGCATTATGGAGAAAACATGGTAGAGGTTCTGAATGATCCTCTCCTCTTCCAGAGAGGATTCGCGCTTTCCTCTGGGAGGCAGCTAGAGGTGAGTCACTTCACCTCAACCAATCAGCATCCAGATTTGGGGCTGGGTTGCATTCTTTGGAAGGCTCACTCTACTTCTGGGTCATCCCAGCACCAACAGATCCTGCTAAGACCTGAGTTTTTGTCAGTATGCTCCTGTTGCTGTGCCCTAATCTCTAAGATTTTTCTCTCCAGCATGCTGAGACTTGAAAGCTCCACTCAGCTTTTCAGCTGCCTTTAGTTAGGCCTCTGAGATTCTTGCCTACGTAGTTTAAGAATTAACAACTGGAGGGGAAACCAGCGAAGGGCCTCAGGTTCACTCCTGTCCACCTCTCTTCTCTCTGGCGTTTTGGCCCCAGCTACATTTTCTGTTTCTCTAGTCGTAAGGGACTGCCCCAAACTCTGCATTGATTCTCAGCCTCTGGCTCAAAACTGCTTAAAAACCAGCAAATGAAGCGTTGGCTCACCTCTGCAAGCTTCTCATTTCTCTGGATCCTGGCACTTACAGAGAGTTCAATAGCTTTCCAGTACCTTCAAACAGATTATTCTTATTATTATCTCTAATAATAATTCTAATAGTTCAGAGACAGAGCAGAGAAATTTGCAATTTAAAAAACAGTGTCTCATAAGTTCTCATTTTTGATCTTCACAAAACCCCCATGTGGCAGAAAGGGCACCGGTTGTTACTCCCATTTGACAGAAGAGAGTGTTGACTAGCTGAGGTGGGAAGTCTGTAGAGTCTAGAGAAGAATTTCATCTCCCTAAAGGCAGGGCTGACACTAGAACCCACATCTCTCGGTTCCTAGTATAAGATACTCCTCCACCCCAGCCTGCTTCTCCATGTGGACTAGTCTGCCAGAGCTTCCATAACAAAACATCACAGACTGGGTGGCTGAAACAGCAGAAATTTATTTCTCACCGTTCTGGAAGCTAGAAGTCTGAGATCAAGGTGTCGGCAGGGTTGGTGTCTTCTGAGGTCTCTCTCCTTGGCTTGTAAATGGCCATCTGCTCCCTAGGTCCTTACGTGGTCCTTCCTCTGTGTGTGCCTGTGTCCTAATTTTCTCTTCTTACAAGGACATCAGTCCTATCAGATTACAGCCCACCCTAAATGCCTCATTTTAACTTAATTACCTTTTTAAAAAGCCTCTCTCCAAATAGAGTCACATTCTGAGGTACTGGGGGTTAGGACTTCAACATATGAATTTAGTGGTAGTGGTGGGGAGGACACCATTCAGCCCATAGCGCCATATAAAAGGCTTATGAATGTAATAACCAGTTTTCTTATAATTTCTATAAATTAAATGTGTAGGGGCCCTTTTTGTCTTAGCGCAATTTTCTCAAAGTGTGGCACCAGCTCCCCTATGACCGGCAGCTTCAGCGTCAACATCAGCGTCAGCATGAACTGGTTAGAAATGTAAATTCTTGCTCCTTACCCCAGACCTACTCAGTTAGAAACTCTGGGGTGGGCCCAGCAAACCCTCCAGGTGATTCTGATGCAGGCTCTGGTTTGAGACCCAGTGCCTTAGCAGCTGGGGAGAGGACCGCTTCGAGGCAGGGTTGTTTCTGCTGTAAATTCTTGTCATGCTATTCCCAAGTCCTTTTCTAAAGGATGGCTCTCCTAGGATGTCAGGTTATGATTGATGGCCAGACCTGTCAGATAGCAGCACTTAAATCAGTGCTCATCTGTCTTGTGGTATCATTGGGCATTCAAATATCACCTACTCATTTGAGGATTTATAAAGGAGGCAATTTTCAGTAGAAAGCTTTGTTATTGGAGGACTGAGATTCTCCACTAGTCTGGGCCTCAGTTTTATTATCTCTAAAATGAGAAATCTGGATTCCTCTTCTAGCTCCAACAGTCTGTGCAACCATACAAATGACTCAGAGCAACTGATAGTGCAGCAATGGCAAGTGTTTTGATTTTCTGGGATTCCCCGAATGGTCAGACTAAACACCCAAAACTACGTCAAGCAGAGTGCCTCAAGTTAGAAGTTTCTAGAAATTCTCCTGCTGGGGCTCTGTAAACAAGACTGGCCAAAGACAGATTAACAAGAGAAAAACAAACAGAAGTTTATTAATATGTGCATGCTGCATATATACATGGGAGCACTCAGTGATGAGAAACCCAAAGAGATGTTAGAATGTAGGTTTCTATACCATCTTAGGCTAAAACAAAGAAAAAGTGGTTTTGGGTGTCTGGGTGGGAGAGGCGAGTTATGGGAAGGTGACCAGGAAATCTGTTAAACAAGGGTTGTTTAGTAAGGTTTGTTGTGTGGATTCAAGTGGATGACTTCTCCACCGATGAGTTGTTGAGTCCGCTCTTGCTGGTATGGGAGAGGGAGATATCTTTACAAAAGGAAATTTCCTTTACCAAAGGAAGACTGTGCCCTGTTTTTAGAGCTTTTCCTGAGTCTGCTAGTTCTCAACAGCCTTTAGCTCAAAATAATCCAAATGCCAAAGAGGCATATTTTGGGGTGGCATATTTTGGTACCCCACAGTTTATCCCCAATCCTTGCTGTGTTGTCCCAGCCCTGGCTGAGTACACACAATGAATACTCTACCAATGTGGGAGGATTTAGGTCAAAATCACCATATCGCCCCGAAGATCCTGTGCTTTCCCAAACCCAGGAAGCAGCCTCACCTTTGGGACATCCTCAGCAGAACTCCGGGCTCAGTGTCGCTACTTCACTGGCAGCTGTCACTACTGTGTTTTGTATTCACAGTGAGCAGCATCGTTTCTTTCTCATATATAAGCTCTTTTGATCTCCTCATCGCAACCTCACAAAGTAAGCAAGGAAGGTTTTATTATGCCCATTTACTGCATTGGGGAATCCTCAGGAAAGTTAAACATTTGCCCAAATTCACAAATTGGCCAGTGAAGAAATTACCAGGAAAAAAGTCCACTTGGCCAGTGCCAAGGCACTCCCCATACCCCAAGTCTTTGTTTTGGGACTGGAAATAACAAGAAGAAAAAATACACGGAACGAACAGATTCCTGAAAAGTGAGTCCTGCCTTGGAGTTCTGCTCTGAGTGGCTACTGAGCGCTGGACAGCTTCTCTTTCCTGATATAATCAAGTTTATTTTTAAACGTGTTGAACCGAATAAAGTGTCACGTCTGGATGCAGTGGGTGAGCAGGCAGAATAAGACCTGTTTGGTTCCTGTATTAATCTCCTCCTTGGAGTGCAGAAAATCCAACTGACCGTGTTTCTGGAGACATTTAGAAGGCTACCGGTTGTTCTTATCAAGGGGATTTGTAGCTTGGCCCATGTGGAAGGAAATCAATGAGAGGCTGAAGAGAGTCGTGGGCAAAGCCGGCTCTGCACGTGAGATTGGTATTAGCAAGTCTCCAGCATCATTACGTGCCAGCTTACAGGACAGCAGTGTATTTGTGTGCTGTAATGATCTATTGCCTAAGTATTACTGTTAATTATTTTAAAATGACTGTAACTACTATTAGCATGTGACAATACCTCATTAGAATGTGTAATTGTGTCTGTCAGCAATGATATTATTACGTGTCTTTTTAACAGAATATGGGACATTAATTCTAGTCCCTTAGACTCTTCGCTACCAATTCTCCAGGTAGAATCCTAAGCCCCCAGCAGTCAATTCATCTACTCTTTTATGTCTGACTGGGGTTATACTTCAACTGTTTTAGGAAGATGGTTATTTTATTTATTAAAGACATATACGCACACATCCTCGTAATTCTGAAAAATCTATAGCCATTCTTTGGCAATTTGCTATAACGTTTTACAACTGACTCCCGAGAGGTTTCTGCCCAGGTCAAACCTAAATTCTTTTTGATGTGCAGAAAGCTGTTCCTTTTCTTCTTTTTCCCACGGCACAGCTATTCTCAAACTAGAGGGTTGCCCTTATGGCCTCTGGTTCCAAGTTTCTTCCAGGGGTGGTGCTCCTCATGAGGGCATTCAGAAACGTGTTGGGATGGTTCTGATTTTTTCTCTGTTGTCACAACGTTGGGGGCATTATGAGCAGTTCCTAGGCTGAGGCTGGAGCTGCTAACACTGCACAGTTCAGTCGCATCCTAAGAAAAGTTGGTCTGCCCCACATGCCAGCGGCACCCCTATGACAAATACTTCCCTATGCCTCTCTGTGTCTGGGCCGTGGGACACCGTCTTTTCAGTTCCCTAGAGCAGTCTTTCCCAGAAGCATTCTCAGCTTTGTGGGCAGAGTCCGGATATGGGAGGTTCCCGCTCTTGCAGAAAGTGTTCTTGCTTTTTGCCAAGTAAGCTTGGGGCTATAGGTCTCAATTTTGTGTCCTAGGCCTTAAAATTACAAAGGAGTTCCTTCAAAAACCCAACTCAACCCTATGTCCTGTGGTCCTGCTAATGGGGCTTGTAATGACTGAGAACATGCCATCATTCTGATTTTATAAATAGGGAAGTGGTAAAGTAAACAAGAATGACAGGACTTGCTCAACGTAATCTCTTGTCTCCTCCTCCTAGAGTCTGCTTCCGAGGAAGCCTGCCTTGCCTCGGACGGCCCTAATGGAGGAGACCACAGCTGATCAGATCCAGAGTGGACACCTGACTGGAAGGCCTGGCCTGCCACTTTAGTTTGCACAAATGGACTAAGCCACAGTCAGGTCATGTCCTGGAAATTTGTGCTGAGACATTCCAGTGGGCCTTTGACCCTAGAGCTGAAAGATTATGGAGGCACAGGTCGGGGTCAGCATTCTGGATGAGGGTTAAGATGAGCAAACAGAGAAAACTTGTTTAGAAACAAAAGACGGGAGCAGAAATGCCAAGAGAGAGAACTAGAAAGAACCAGAGAGCGGCTGAGAGACTAAAAGTGTGGCTTTACTCTCCGGTTCCCAATTTGGGTCCCTGAGAGGCCTAACTGTACCTTAGCTGAATTATGTGAATATCTGTGATTCACTATTGAATTCTCCACACCCTCTCCTCCTTTCTTTGGAGCCAACTTTGAAGAATCTAAGTTGCAACCTCAAATAGGCTGATTAGAGACACTGCTCCAAAAAAGGGAATGGATTTTTATTCAATTCTGAGGTCTCACTTCTGAAAAATGTTGCGTGTGTTCCCAAGGACATTTTTTGGGCCCTTTTTTTATGGAAGAGGGCAGGCTGAGAGGCTATATCAGGGAAAGATTATTTTTGGTGCTTCCTAAGTTTCTAGTTTTTATGTTTGCCTGGGGTTACCTCTGAGCATCCATATCTCCCACAATTTAAGACTTCCAGTTGCCTCCCTGAAGCGACATCTCCTGTCATCAGTGTTTTCTTTTCCTTAAGACGGAAAAACAAAACACCAGTGTTACTCTCCAGGCTGGGAGAGCTGTTTCTGGAAAGGATCTTGGACCCTACTCCCCTAGATGCTATCACAATATAAATGCAGAACAGACACCTAGTTGGAGAAGAAAGAAAAATATGCCTGTTACGTGTTTAAACACAGATGCACTTCAGATGCTGTTCTTGTTATTATTATTCCACATTGATGGGCTTGCCAGCCTTTATGGTAGGAAGTTAAAACACCTGGTTTACGTTATCATGACTGGTATTTAAGACAAGTTCACGGGCATTTGGGCAGAGGAAGTGTCCATGCTTAGGAAAGCAGTGTCTGACCCTTACCGGGGATTTTTTGATTTACATTTCCTTTCTCTCTTTCCTGTTGCATTTCCTTGAAGCCGGCTTCTCTCTTTACAGCTACTGTGGCTGCTGGTCTGGGTTGGTGTGATCTTCTCTCACCAAAGGGACCCACGGAGGCCAGATGCTTACATCTTCTGAGGTATCCAGTGCCTATAGTCTTCTCCTGCCCTTTTTTCCTTCCCGTGTACCATTTTACTTAACCTCTTAAAGTAATTAGTAATTTAGATGGGACAGGATATGAGGATGTGCAGGTGGGGGGTTTCCAGCTCTGATCTCTTTCTCTGCCTTCCTTTCTTTGATGTTCTTGTCTATGTGCAAAACAAGGCAGCAGACTCCTGGGTTCCGAGGTGACTTCTGGGGACAAATCGTCCATTTTTGGGGAATGATCACTCTCCTTTTGCCACTGGTTATACCAGTGGGGGGATTGTTGAGGCAATCAATTTGGTACCAGTTAGAAAGCTACAGGGGCTTCCTTGCTCTGGATAAGATGGAAGGGTTTTATGAGAATGATTATGCTTGCGGGAACATAAAAGTTTTGAACTGGGTATTCTGGAGGTCACTTACCAGTCTTCTATCAGCCTTGTGGTTCAATATACCAAGGTCACCACTGAGGAGGTCTGAGTGTGGCATCCATGGACCATCCTGTAGATTCCTAGAGTTTTTCAGGTGATAATGAATAGCATTGCACTGAGGATGGTGAAGCCATGGGGTTTCTCTGCCTGTTCCCCAGCTGGGTGAGTTCAGACACTGTTTTATAATGTCACCAGGGGTGACCATCCTCTGAGGGGCTGATGCAATCTAACCTAACTCCCAACAGGGTGATGTATGTCACAGAAAGCTGAGGTGTTACTTTATGATGAGACTATGTTTATGACGATGACCCAGGGCTTCCTGGTCTGGGCCTCTCTCCTGGTGAAACACGGATGACCACGTCCCCCTCCACTCTGGATTGTAAGACTCCATGTGTAGTCTCTGCACCAAGCTGGATGCCGAGTTTAGAATCTTCTTCAAAAGATTTCTTCAAAAGAACAGCAGACACTTTATTGAGTGCTCCGTAGGGGAGATGGAAGAGGAGAGTTAAACCATATACTCAACGGCAAGCAACTTAAAATTCCCACTCGACATTCTATTCTCTCCAAAGTCCCTCTAATCCACCCAGTGCCCAACCTCTTGGGCTGCTCTCCCTACCCCCTACCCTGATTTTCCTGTAATTTTCAAATTTTTGCATTTTCATCATGCAGAGCAATTCAACTGTAACCAAACTCATAGTCAAGTTGACAGACCCAAAATCATGGAAACGCTCACAAAATAAAGGACCCTAAGGTGTCAGGACCCAATCTCTTTAGAGGGCAGATCAGCGTTATTATTTATTGCTTGCCATCTCATTCCTCAACCCATGTGGTTAATCAATGGATTTCTTCTTGGTAAATATAGGACTGTCTCCAGGAGGAAGTCTTAGTCCAGCTGCTAAAGGAGGAAAATTTCCTGTATCTCATTACACCAGAAGCTGGAAAGCAAAACTAGTCATTAGAATGTTGCTCAGTATTCAGAGAATCAGAGTGAAAATAGCTGGATGGCGCTGAGGGAGACTGCAGTCTGAGTGGAGAGCAGGCCTGGCACCTTCTCTGCTATGGGGGAGTGTGTCATTCTAATGATGGTGTGACTGTGGCCAGATTCACGGATGGGTAAACGCTAACCAGCTCTTCCTTCCAAGCTTTCCTTCTGGGCTTCAATCAGACCTTGCCCTTGCTACTTGGTCTGTCCTTACAACGCTCTTTGTTACTTTAATACTCTTCCGAATTTTATTGATTTCATTGTGTATCGTAGTTGGTTGCTTCTGGACTGCATAGAGAGAGGGACCTTCATCTCATGACTTCGGGTTTGCCACATCTGTCTTGTAGGACACACTCCTTCGGAAAGCAGTCTTGGCTATCACCACTCTGCTCAAAGATTCAATATCACTATTAGAACTGGGAGAAGCCTCTATACCATGGATTCTCCTTTTACTGAGGATGAAACCGAGGGCACAGAAGAATGAAACTACTTACCCAAGTTCACAGAGTTGATGTTGGGGCCAAGACTAAATTTTGCGTCTTCTGACGTTTAATTGCTGTGTTTCTACCCCATCTCATTGTAATTTGTGGTTGTTCTTTTCTCCAGTGTCTCTACAGTTAGACCATAAGCTTCTTGGAAACAGGAACTGTATCTTGTCAGGATACAGTTAGTTTCCCAGTGGATGCCCAGTATATGTTGTTATGCATTTCAGCAGACATTTTCAGAGAATGTATTAGATTAGAGTGTTATATTTATATACATACATATGAATATAAAAATACGTATACACATACATAGATATAATAGAATGTATTGTTATTATATATGACATATGTAATATCTATTAAATTATATATAACATATACATTCGTGCTAGGGATGCAGAAGATGAAGAAGGCTTGCCTTCTTTTCTTAAATGTTTGTAGGAAGCTCACTCGTCCAGGGGCTCTGGAAACTTTATGGAGAAGACGGGATTGGGGCTGGGCCTTACAGAGGAAGAATTTTGCTGGAGCTGTAGGAGAAGGAAAGGCTTGTTAGAGCAAACACTGAGAGGCTGGAGAGCCCAAGGGTGTGATGAGGGGTGGCCCATAGGCCACTGTGGCTGATGCTGTGAGCTGCAGTGGAAGAGCTAAGGGTGGAAGGGCGGCATTTGGAGGGCTTTGAGAATGGGACTTTGAGCACACGTGGCGCAGTGCAGTAACGCATTCCCCTACCATCTGTCTGAGATAGAACCTGGCTGCCAACGGGCATCTACAGACCAGTGTGTTTGTAGAATAAATTAATAATCACTCTGCTGTGGGTCCACTGACTGCAAAAATCGTGGTATCTAGAGGCAGTATATTGTTCAGGAGCATGGATTTTGGAGACAGAGTGGCTAGGTTTATATCCTAGCTTTGCCAATTACAAGCTGTGCAACCTGAGAAAGTTTTTTAACCCCTCTGGATCTCAATTTTCTTATCTGTGAAATGCAGACGACAATAGTACCTACCTCATGATAGGTTATGATGATTAAATTAAGTGAGTTAGTATATGCAAAACACTGACAATTTAGAATACTGCCTATTTCATAGTAAGCACTATATTTCTTAATTATTTGTGTTATTATAAAAATTATTACTGGCTTTGTACACTGTAAAATAGGGAAAAACCTGTCTTCTCAAAAATGTCTCTCACTATATGCCCTACTGTCTGAAAGGCTTCCATTAGGCTTTCTTAAAGTCAAAGGCCTTAAGTAAAATACATATATAATTAGAAAGCCAACTGTGGGATATCAGTCATTAGCTCTTTAGTAAGAATCCAGTTACCTAACAGAGCACAGAGGAAATGGGTTATTTAATGCCTAGTCAAGAGAATTAATAATAATACAGCTAAATAAGTCACTTATTTGGGGGAGGGGGGGAGGCAGCCAGGACGTACGGAAAATACAACTGCCTAGACGCTGGCAGTGTTTTACAAACCTTATGTTGTGGGAAGGCATTTAACGGGTTCCATAAATGTTTTATAATGTTTCATTTAAAAATAATCTAAGCTATTAAAAATAGGTGCTGAAAAACAAAACGCATACAATGCCAAGTATTAAAACATTGGAGATTACCAACATGATATCATTTGCTATCAGATTACTGCATTTTTGTGTAGGCCTTATAATACAGCCTCTTCTGCATCTCTATTTCATTGAAGAATATCTTGAGATTGTAAGGCAAACTGGGAAGTAGTTGCAAACGGTGTCTGTTTTTAAGAAAACTTTGTTAGCCAAAATTTTCTTGATGTTTTGTAACCAAAAAAATCCCCAGAAATAAATTGGATGAGGTTGCTAGAAGACTGCCACTGTTTTCCATAACTCCTTATTTAAAAATTTTATCTTCGCCGAAACACCATGGTTCTTATTGACTTTATACTGGGTAACTATCATTAATTTGAGTTTATAAAACAAATATATATTAATAAAATATCGCTTTCATCACTTTCATGTGCTAAAATTCTCTATAAGATGATTCCATATGAAAAAGGGGCTCCACCATTAGAAATGTTTAAAACCCATCAATTGAGAAAGGAGCTTTGAACCTGGAGATGAAATAAAAGAGAGAAGGAAAATGTCTGTGATGAAACCTGAACAACTGGCTATAGGAGACGCATGTTGCTGCTCTCAAGGCCAAGGACAGTGACTCATAGCGGATGTAGAACATGGTGGCAGGCTAGAGTGGCTAGGATATCATGATTTTTGGTTATCTCTGAACTTAACACTTATGGTTTTAGCTATTCCCAAACAATTCTAGAAGGACCATCACACGGAGCATGTTGTAATTTTACTGAGGCGTAAATTTAAAAAATAATTCTGTACAAATGCCTTCATCAGAAAAATGATAAAATTATAAGATAAAAATTGAGGCATGAATTTGACTTCCACTTGTGACCAGGGTGGAGGTGGAGGTGTGGGCAGCAAGAAGTAGCCCTAAGGAGGGTACCCACCAGATCGATCGCCCAGCTTTCATCAGCCTCTCCACTCAGTTCTGCTCTTTCCTGGTCTTGCCTGCACTCTAACTCTTTTGTATTGTGATAGAAACTCAATTTCTTTGTGAAAAATGGCCCTGGAGCTCCTTGGAGAAATGGCTGATTCTAGGGCTGGAGCAGAAAACATACAGGGTAAACCGGGAGCATCTTGTGGTACCAGTAAGCAAGGAAGTGCTAAACAAAACAAAACAAAGCAAAACACCAAAATCCAGTACAATAATGGCGGTGTTTCAAAGGGACACGGGAGCCAACTGAAGGAGCTCCCAATGGCCAAAGCTGCAACAATTTGAGCCACAAAATACATAGGGTATTATTGGACTATAAAGCATAAAATATCCATGAGTCCATACTGATACAAATAAATGATTGAATAAATCAATAAACTGGGGAGAAGAGACAACTCTCCTGTGCAGAAAAGTTCCAAATAATGCGTGTAAATACTCTGCCCTCAAGAAAGAGTTATTTTATTTAACTCCCCACTTCCTTAAGTGTAGGCTGGACATAGTGACTTCTTCTCAAGGAGCACAGTGTGGAAAAGGGGAATAAAAAGGGTAACTTCACAGTGGAGAAATCTGGCAAACACAGCCTTAGCGGGAAGCTCACAGTCAACATCCACAGTGATGTCACGTTGATAGTATGTACCGCGATGTGATGCAATGAAAATGGCAGGCACTTCACCTCCGTGATCTTCCTGCTCAACCCTCATAACTCTAGTCTAATCTTGAGAAAAATGGCAAGTTTCAGGGAAATGATGTCTTACAAAATACCTGGTCAGTACCCTTCAAAACTATCAAGGTCGTCAAAAACAGGGTAAGACTGGGAAACTGTCACAGCCAAGAGAAGCCTAAGAAGACATGGCAACTAAATGTAATGTGGTTTCTCAGATGGGATCCTGGAACAGAAAACGGATATTTGGTAAAAACTAAGGAAATCTGAATAAAGTATGGACTTTACTTAATAATAAGGTATCAGTCCTGGTTCATCAATTGTAACAAGTGTACTGTACTAATGCAAGATGTTAATAATAGGGAAAAATGTGTGTTGGGTGAGGGGCAAGGACATATGGAACACTTCGTATTATTTACTCAATTTTTCTATAAATCTAAAACAGTTCTAAGAGAAGAAAAAAAAGGCCCTGGAAAGAAATATGCTGCTATTATTACTGATGGAATGAAGAGGTCTAATGAATATGGTTCTTTCTT